AAGTTGTGTATTGATGCGGTAAATGTGTACATTGTTGGTATTTTGTTGCGATTATTGTTGTTTATACGATGAGAAGTGGTGATGTTATGTGATCTAATTTAATATATTATGTATCATACGTTTTATTATATTGTTAGATATCTCACCCCTTATGTTCGAATGTTACCCTTACGTTGGTAACGTGCAGGTAATCCAGAGTGAAGGCAGTATACCTTCAGTAGTTTGAGTCGGTGTCATTGCTCTGATATGAAACACTCGGGAGGATGAACGCTTGTTGCTTTTAGTTATTTATTATTTAAGTTGTTGAACTTTAATTTGTTTGTTTCTAAGTATGCATTATTTTGAAGTTGTTGTAATTGTTGGACAAAGATGTTATTATGATTCCGCTGCGTAGATGTTCAAGTTGTTGAATTAAGAGATTAAATTATTATGCTGATAGTTCATTCGAAGTTTTAAAGTGTTAGGTATCCACGTTGAATGCAATGTGTTTTTAAAGTTGAATTTGTGGCATCCTGATTCGTTTGCATGAATTTTATGACTTTGATTTACATTTATAATTGCCGAGTAGAATTGGGGTGTTACAACCAACCCCTACACAATATTTATCATAAGCCCCATTATAAGGTCAGAACCCCATCCTTACCTTGGATTGAAGGTCACTCGACAACTCTCTGACCAGAACTTTGCTTTGCTCTTCTCCTTATTCCTCTTCTCTGCAACTTCTTACAACCACTTTTTCCAACATCTTCTCAATAACCCTATTCTTTCTTTTAAATAGAAGCCCACCATATTATTATTCTTAATGGGCTTAATAACTCACCCCTATATCTCTACTTCTAACCATTAAAATAGGCCCAACACAATTATTCTAGTATTCTACTAATTCTAATATTATTACTACTATTAATCAACTAATTAATTAACTAGTAATAATGTAGCAACTTATACCAACAACTCACAACATCTCACAGCTTCAACGAATAATTCAAATATAATTAATTAAATAATTAATTAAATAACGAGCGTTACAATGTCTATTGGAAAAGATCAAATTTCTCTTTTGGCTTGCTTGTCATAATTTTGTTCTTTACTCTCTCTTTGCTTCTCCATCGCAACGTGATCCCCTCCACTATATGCTTCAGATGTGGCCTAGAAGAAGAATTTTTCTTCATTGTATTTGTGACTATTGGAATTCTAGAAACCTTTGGATGCACCTTGGATTTAATCACTAAAAAAATTTCTCGACTCATGATGGAAGAGTTTGGATAAAAAAAGAGATTCACAGTGCCTGTCATAACCTCTTTTTCGTTGGAATCAGGTGGGGTTGGAGAAATCTTAACTCTACTTGCATATCACGTGAAATCATTCCTATGTATCGTCTCTCCTGAGTCGCCCAATCCATGGAGGACTCCGTTCATAATTATTTTCTTAAACCTCAAAATGAGCGCACAGAAAATCGATGTATCAAGTAGAACTCCCTCAACTATTCATTCATTATTATTGATGTTGATGGAAGTTGTAATTGAACACCAACTCACATTGGCTTTGGTAGTACCATTCACACCTCATTTGATACACGACAATATGGATTTTTTCTATTTATCCCGAACTCCCCAGATATACTCCATGCAGAGAACTTTAGGTCATCCACAAAAGACTTTCACTAGTCAAAGGTATGGAAATTATTGATTTGGTATGTTATATGGAATCATCTCTTAGTACCAACTTCATCAAGACCAACTTGATCCAGAGTATTAAAAATATCTTGTTCGAAAACACTTTTTTTTACTGTTGTCCACACCTTCTCTAAAGCAATCAAAGTGCATATTACAGGACAAAACTCATTACATCTACTAACGACATATGTCCATCCATGCCGCCAACAACATCCCTACGGAAAATTCAAGGTAATATTTTTCTTTTGGGACATCGATTGTGTGAAGTTGATTATAAAATATGTCATTGAGTTGAAAAGAGAGTTGGTTGAGGTATTTTATTCTCTTTGTTCAACACATATTATTTATATCTGAATTATTAATAAAGCATTGTATGAATTCAGTTTGGTGAAGATAACCCCTTATAATTTTGTTATGCACTAGATGCAATATTGAAAAAAGAGTTGGCAATTAAAGTTGTCTTTCAGTCAAAGTATGGCAGATTGTCTATTATTGGCTTCATAGACAACAAAGAATCGCGTAAGAAAGTAAGGGATAATTTCAAGTGTGAAGAGATAATCTTTGTTGAGTTCTTAAGTTGAGAATACCAACCATCAATTGTGAAATCAAGCCAATCCTAATAGTCAGTTATTATTTTATTTTTCTTTTCAGCATACATAAAAACTTTAAATATCCGAGCCTTTGTCACAGGAGGAACTCACAAGTTATTTTATAAGTCTACTCCTCTATCTATTAGAAGTATATTTCCCTAAAAAATTGTACCTTTTGTTTGGGTATTTTCAGTTTCCAATACACATTAAGTTCACATTACAGTTATTGTTACATGTTCTAATGGTTATTGGTTATAACTCTTAATGAAGGAACCTTTGTTTGCATTTACAGATTATGATCCTGCTCGTGAGAATCCAGGCCCGACTCCGTCGAAGCGGTCTTTGGCTGATACAATATAAGATTTAGAGAATGTTCAATTGTCCTCCACAAAATAAATGGATGTCAGGTTTTAAATCTAACAAGAAATATGAGACTTTAACAAGGATCAAAGAATACAAATTCTATAAAGCTAGTTGAATTCTCAAAATAGATTTTAAATGTGGGGATGGTAAGATTTGTGAACCAAATGATGGTTTGGTAAAAATAGAAGTTCCTCAAGAGCAATTAATATCAAGGTTTCGATGATCCTATAAGGGCTATTGTCAATATCAAATATCTCAATTTGTTAGAAAATTACAAAGAAGAAGAATTATTACATTGCAAAGCTATTCTTACTTTAACCATTGAAGTAGTGGACAATATCAATCATTATGTATTAGACTTGATTCCAAGTAAAAAGCGTTAGATTACATTAATTTATACATATAAAAATTCTATGTTTCAAATACTGTTACTAATGTCTTAATGTTTAATTTTATACCTTTTTTAGGAGAAGAAAGAGTATCGGAGTTTCGATTCAATTGATAAAATGAAAGCCAATTATAATGAAAGCTTATGAAGTGTTAACTCCAGAGTTTCTTAGTAAACTGAGAACACCGCGTCTACTAAATCATATGATCAAATTGAAGGTTAGAATCCCCATTATGCTAATGAGAAATTTGGACCAGACTGAAGGGTTGTGCAACAGAACAAGATTAATTGTGACAAGTTAGCAAATCACGTAATTGAGGCAAAAATTATGTCTGGAAAGAACATTGGTAACGTAATTTACATTCCCCAAATGTTTATGTCACCTTCTGAATCACCTTGACCATTCGAGTTGATTAGGAGACAATTTCCGATCATTGTCTCATACATAATAACAATTAATAAATCTCAAGGTCAATCACTTGATAGTGTGTGATTGTATTTGCCTACTCCTGATTTTAGTCATAGTCAATTGTATGTTCAATTTCAAGAGTTAAGAGTAAAAGTGGTTTGAAAATCTTAATACGTGACAAAGAGAATGCATTGTGTTCGACTACTTCAAATGTTGTGTATAAGTAGGTACTCCAAGCACTTTGTTAGTTGATAAACGGATTTTACCTTTTCTTTTATGCTACAATTTAAATATTCATCTTTTTTAATATTTAATTTACTGCTATTTACTTTAAATGAAAGTAATAGAAATTCTCAAATATTTGATTTTTATTGTTGTAGATCAGTTTGATACCGACATAATTCATTTGTATTAGCTATGGTGATTCAGTATAAAAACTGCATAGAGGATAATAATTTAGATCAATTGTAATGGAGATCTTTGATGATTGATATGTTTAACCTATGGTTTGATTTTAATACAAATTTTAATTTATGCTTGATTATTAAACTTGATAAATTTATGAATCATTGTTTTTTGTATTTTCGAATAAACAATATATAATTTGATATATTTTTCATATTGTTGTAGGATGATAAATATTGTTATTGGCTTATTGATGCGATGATGAAGTTCATGGGTTTATAATTTACTTGAGAGATAATTTTCAAGATGTTGACATATTTCTTTATCAAGTTTAAAGTTTTAGGAATGTTAATTTTGTTTTTGTTTTTTGTAAAAAAAACTTTACTTTTAAAAATACTATTTGAATAAATGAATAACGATTGATAAATTATATTAGTTTATGTTTATGATATGTCTAACTATTAACAATTTAAAAGAAAAAAATTAAAATTGATAAACTATTTTAAATTTATAATTAAGTAAATGTTAAGTAATAGAATAAATAAATTCAATCTTAAAAAACGTGTAAAAGAATCATGACACAAATTTCTTAATAGTTATTTTAAAAGCAAAATGGTAAACAGGAAAATGGTCACATTGCAAGACAGAAACATGGCATCATCGGTATGTAAACAAAACTAACCCCACGAAAATGATTAAACGTGGGCCACCATAACATATTTCATCACCAATAAAAAACATCCACGTGTCCATCCACGCCGCCAACAACATCCCTACGAGGATATCTATCCAACACGTGCCAGTCTGTCAAACGTCTCATTACCTCGTAATAGTGTCGTTCAGCATAACACTCTCCACCAATACCAATTTTACCCCTTCTTTGTCTTTTTCTCCTACATCTATTTTCATAATACCAAAGAGGTTATAACCGTAACAACAACACAATCCCAAAATTTCAGTACAAAACACGACACTGTACAGAACAAATTCCGCCATTTCATTCACACAAGTCTCTCAGCCATCACACCGATTTTCTCAGAGTGGTTTTTCAAAAAGCTTCCTCATTTCTAGCCAGAAACAAGGGAAGAAAAAACAACAAAAAAACAAAAACTTTATGCTACCCATGATTCTCAGCTACTGCTAGTTCTGTTTTTTGTTTTCCCAAAACAATGAAGATGAAGAAACTTAACACCGTGTTCATCATCTTTATGATTCTAACATTTCTTGTGTCGCTTCCTTTTGTTCAATGCTGTGAGTTCAAGTTCTCAACCAAATCACTCTTCTTAGTTTCTTGTTCTTCTTTGTTCATTCTACTAAAACCATTGTTTTGATATTATTGCAGCTCGTATCTATCGAACAAACATGGAAGGAGCTAGTCGACACATAGCAACAAGCATTAAGGTAAGAACTAAACAAAAGATGGAAACTTTGTTTTTTGGTTATTCAGTTTTGAACTTTGAAAACTCTCTTTGTTCTCTGTTAATAAAAGTGTTTATTTCTTCTTAGGATGCAATTGCAAGGTTTAAGAAAGTTGGTGTTTCTGTTGGCACAGTAGAAGACTCAGCAAGAAAAGTTCCAACAGGACCTGACCCTCTTCATCACAACAACAACCCTTTAGAACCTTAACTAGATGTTTGTTAGCTTTCATTAAATTATTAGTAGCACTAACTCTTTCTCCTATATAGTACATTTTGATTTAAGGTTCAATATGATATCATGTATTATTCAGTTAGTACTCATGTTTTTGTATCTTCTGCAATATTAATCTTGTTTTTGTACAAAATCAGAAACAAATTATGTTTGAGGTATATTTGGTTGTTTAAAAATCATTTTCTATACTTTAGTTGGGTTTGTTGCTTTCAATATTTGTCTTTGTGTTTTGTTTACTCTTTTTGAGAATTGAAAGAAGACAAAAAAAGCAAGAATGGAATTCATTTGATTGCCACATTTAGAGGAAATAGTGGAAAGGAATGACTAATCTGCAAATTGGTACAAATTTCAGAGTTGTGGTGGTTCCATTTTGCTTTTTTTCTCGCTTATATGATATTTCATTTTCAACTTCAGCAATTAGTGTCCAAGCTATATTTAGTATCATCGTTGAAATTTTCTTATCAATTTTCTGATGAAGATTGACCGGAGAAGGAGTAGGGAGCCAAATTTTTTATGAATCAATTTTAGCTCCTTAGTAAAAAAAATAAGATTTAGACAAGAAGTTGGTAGTGTACATTCAATCCACATATTAATTTATTATCTTTAATTATTTATTTAATAATTCAAACTTTAGAGATTTCCAATATATTTTAATATATTTTACTCTATGGATAACTCTATTCAACTTTTTGAAATTGATTAATAAGATTTCACCTAAAATTTAAGGGTGACAGGGAACATTGGATAAAATTTTATTTAAATTATAATAGATTGGTTAAATAATTTATTAAATTATCCACAATATTGCAACAATTATCAAACATTATTTTACTACGTGATATCCACTACACAAATAATGTTATATAAAAAATTATGTCTCTATCCAACTCATTAATTTAAAGATATTTTTTAAATAATTGTTTAGATGATTTTACATGTTTTTTTGTTTCTCCATTGATTTGTAATATAAACCTAAAATGTTTAAACGGTGTAATTTGTAGTATGATATAATATCCAACTTTCACTAAATTATAACATTTCTCTTTTTACTAAACTTAATTTCATATACTTTTTCTTCTTTCTTCTTAGACAAAAATCAAACACTTCAAAGTCTCATCTCTAAGTCTTGAACCTCTCAATTAAGTTTTTCCCCAATTCTCCAAGCATGATTACATCATATGTAAAAAATACATACAACTCGGTACTAGCTCTTGGATGTGTTATGTATGCACATCCAAACCTAATTAAAAAGGTAAGGACTCAAAGATGAACCTTGGTTCAAACTTATTCTTATAGAAAATTGTTTGTCTCTCCACTCTATGTTCTCACACTATAGTAGAGATTTTCTTATATGGACATATCCTGGATAGTTCAAATATAGGCAATCATAACCTGTTTCTTCTTTAAGATTTTCCGTGAAATTTAATTGTTGGTCTTATTGATCCATCTGATACCCTTCCATCACACATCACAATAAATAAATTGTTTTCATGTTCGACTTCTCAAGCATAAAATCAAATTGATTATCAGTAACTTATGTCTCTCTTTTTCAATACTCGTTCAATAATTATTTTCCATAACTTCATGGTATAACTCATAAGTTTAATCCCCCTATAATTTGCATAATTTATTATATCTCGTTGTTCTTATAGATCACAATTAATGTGCTTATTCTCCATTCATCCGACATTTGGTTTGACCTCATAATTTCATTAAAATATTTGATGAGTCAATCAATGCCTCTATCTCCCAAAAAAATCACACTTTAATATGTATGTTGTGAGCCCAATTTCATTTCTATTACTCATCCGATGATCTTAGTTATAGTTTTTGTTTTGTTTTAGAACCAGAATTGATCGAAGAGCGATGCTTGTCATGTGATACGAAAATATTGAACATCTGGTGTGGTGAAAGAGAGGTTGACCTGTAAGGTTAGCACTCCAACACTCGAGTCAGTATATGAAAGAGATGAGTGAATGAAGTTTGAATTTGAAATTGTGTACTTGAAATTGGTGTGTGTGCCCTTTATATAATGGAGTGAATATAACAACCCGCTATTCTCTAGGAATGGGATGCATGGAGTTGTTGGATGTATCCCGATGCTAGTTTTCATGTGTTTTCCCCCAACAAAATTCCCTCATGATGCGAGCAATTGACCCGATCATTATTTCCTTTGGCCGCAGCCAATGGCTATGTAAGTTCTCTAGTTTTAGGATTGGAATTAATTTTTGTAAAATAAATAAGACATCAATATGTTAGATAGGAGATGTTAACTTGCTAACAAGAACATGTTGAGGAAGATGTTCTTTATATGCAGGGAAGTTCTGATGTGAAAAAGATGTTTTGATTTAAGGAGCATAGAAGATCTGCTAGAACATCACTAGAAGTTTTGTTTATGCAAGCATAGAAGATGAGAGTATTATGATATAATCAGACGCATCTTTCTTAGAAGCAAATCTGCGTGAGACGCTTATATGAAGAAGTTCTGTTACAATGTTTAAATGCACCAACACTGTGAAATAGGATCTCTGATACTCTGATCTATAAAGTTCTGATACAAGCAGTAAGGGACTCCCAACAGTAACATTCATCCTCTGATGTGAGAAGTTCGGAAGCGTTACAGTTTATCAATGCAATATCAAAAGTAACGACTATAAAGAGACAAGAATCTCCTGGTTTGGAAAGATCATTAATTTGTGTTATGAACATTCCAAAATCATCTTCTTATGTCACTGTTGCATGACCTATATAAAGAAGACGAAAAAAAGAATTCAAGTGATGAACTACTGCGCACGGGAAAGAAAAGCATATTTACCCAGTTCTACCCAGTAATCTTAATTTGTGTAATACATCACGATTGTGATATTGTTTTATTTAGAAAACATATTTATACACACTCAATTATATTATTTTGTAATTCCTTGAGAAAACCAGGTTGTGGTTTTAGACTCAAGAAGACTTTACTAATATCAACAATTGCTAGTGGATGTAAGGGCAGAAGACTGCTGACGAATAATGAGGTATGAGCAGAGTGTTTTGAGGAGGTTTTTTTTCTTCTGTTGCAAGTCACTCTAGATGAGAGTTGATAATCTTGATCTTAGTAAAGATTTTAAGCAAACTAAATTTTTTTGGAGTTTCTGAGTGACTTCACACCTAGTATGCATGATATCTTGCCTATTTAAAAGGTCATGATACATAGTGTGGTTATGAAAGGATTGTGATCAGATATGTCCTTGTGTTATGAAGGATTCAGAATTCTTAGATGTATCTCAAAAAGTGATAGCATCTGACTCTAGTTTGACTCTACTAAGGGAGTCTGGGTTCAACATATGTGGGAAGGTGTTGTTATTCAACATGAAAGCATGAAGTCTTTCATGTGTTTTCATCTAGTGCTCAAGTTTTCATCTTCAGCTGGAGCATTGATTATTCATGACAGGGGGGGTCATGTATTTGTCTGTGGATTATTGTTGCAATGGTACAAATACTTTTTGTGTGTTGTTCAAACTTATGGAGATCTTATGCCTCTTATGAGGATGTGATGTCAAACAACATATTGTGACATTATGAAGTTTTTGGTGATCTTGACAAGGCATGGTTGGTTCTTAGTCGTGTGAAGCTGGGTGTCTGAATCAAGAGTTCACATGTCTCTCTAGTGGTTAATGGCTGAGTCTAGGAGAATTTATTTTTCTTTACATATTTTTTGAAGGACTCTATAAGGGTATTTATTATTGAGATATGTCACGAATGTGATATTCTGATATCTTGGTGTATGTCACTAACTCTAAGTGAAAGGAGAACACTTAGAATCCAGCGGAATACAGTGTGGACGAAGATGTGTTGGTCAATTTTTGTGCTTGCAATGTCTGAATGGATGTTAGAACATTATTCATGACATGTTTCCTGTAAGACCAAAAAGGGAGTGATATGGACAACTTTATCAAACACTTATCAAAAGGTGTGTTTAAATATGCAAGTGCATGTATTTGGGCTGGTTCTTTTCAGTAGAAATATTCTAGAGCTATTAAAGATGTTCAAAGCTGTTCTTGGATGGTGCATATTGTTTTTGGTGACAATTTCTCCTCAAATAACATTTCTGTTTTGATCAAGACCTTTAAATCAGTCTAGGATCACTATTTCCCATGAAAGTGTTTAGCTTTTTAAAGAGGATCCTCCTATCATATGTCTTGGGAGTGTTTGTTATATCCATAAGCTTTATGGTTTTTGTTCGAATATGGGTAAGCTACACTTGGGTTGGGTTTTGTGAAGGCTTTCTTTTCCAATTTTTGGCTAAAAAGGGGGAGAAAGAATGGGTTTCTCGGATAGTAAAGCTTGGAGCTAGTGTATTTCAGATACGACACAAAACATGTCGAAACAGATGTTACTTAAGAAGTGAAAAACACAAGAAGGGGGGTTGAATTGTAAAACTTGAAATCAAATGCAGATAACACGTTATTTTTATCCTGGTTCGTTTGATCTCAAACTACTCCAGTCCACCCGTCAAGGTGATTTCGCCTCTCTCCAACGAGGTCTTAATCCACTATATTCAACTGAATATTACAACTGCTTTAACAACTGCTAAAGCCTTCTTAAGTCTAAACCACAAACCTGTTTCTCAAGGAAATTCTTTCTTACAGATAAATGAATACTATGTGTGTTGAATGTTTTCTATAAAAACTTTATATCACAACTGTGATAATACATAAATTAAGCTTATGTGAAACTAGGATGCTATATCTATAGAGTAAACAATTTGAGAGATATAGCAAGCTGTATGAGTGAGGATGAAGATGATTTGCTTTAGGCGTGTAAAGAGTTATAGAGCATTAGCCAATTCATTTCTCACTGACTTGTTTATATAGCCTTGGAAAAGATACGTTGTAGTCAATTATTCCATTTCAATGCCCATTACGTTCTTTCCATATTGAGAAGATCTTTGTCTTGGAATACAACCATTGGTAATAAAGTGTCTTGAATGC